CAAGGCCGACAGCAACGGCTCGTACTCGAACGGAGCGTCGACGTCGAATGGGCGAGCACTGCCTGCCACATTCTATGGCCATGACAGAGAAGAAGTCACGCGCATCTTAATACAGAGCTTGACAGATCTGGGATACCATGGAGCTGCCGGGGCCTTGTGTAATGAGAGTGGCTATCAGCTGGAGGGTCCGACCGTAGCGTCTTTCCGGAATGCAGTGCTAAAGGGCGACTGGGCGGAAGCAGAAGAGCTGTTGTTTGGGTCAAATACGCGTGACCACGGAGGAGGCATAGAGTTGAGCGGTTCAGGGTACAGCAAATCATGGGGCAAGTCACCCAGACCTCCGTCAGGAGGCTTGACTCTTGCCGAAGGAGCGAACCGCGATGAGATGCTGTTTTGGATGAAGCAGCAGAAATATCTCGAACTCCTCGAGCGGCGAGATCTGGGAAGAGCACTCATGGTGCTCAGGCACGAGTTGACACCTCTACACCAGGATGTGGGCCGACTGCATGCTCTTTCAAGGTTAGTTTTTGCATCCAACTCATTTTGTACCAGAAATTTATTTACGCTTTTAGTCTCATGATGTGTCAGTCGGCCGATGACCTGAAGTTACAATCCCAGTGGGATGGTGCAGGTGGCGAATCGCGAACGCTTCTTCTTTCGGAGTTGTCCAAGTCAATATCACCCAGTGTCATGATTCCAGAGCATCGACTAGGTGTATTACTTGATGAAGTCAAGCAAACCTGGATATCGCATTGCCTTTACCACAACACGGCGAAATCGCCATCATTATATACAGACCACAATTGCGAACGGGACGATTTCCCCCTCACTCCCGCGATAGACCTGAAATATCACAAGGATGAGATTTGGTATCTCAAGTATTCGAATGATGGAAGTATGCTGGCATCAACCAGCAAAGACATGTCAATTATCATCTACGATACGGTAACCTACAAGCCAATACATATCTTGGACGACCATGAAGCAGGTGTTACGCACGTCGCGTGGAGTCCGGACGATTCCAAGATCATCACATGTTGTTCGCAGAAAGAGTGCGCGGCGCGGATATGGGATGTCAAGGTATGTCCGTCTATCATTATTGCAATCCCAGTTCTCACAGATTCTAGACCGGCCGCTGCCTCGTTTGTATCAGTGACTTCACATATCCTCCCTCAACAGCGGCATGGTGCCCAGATGGACGTAAGGTAATCATCGGCTCCCAGGATACAAAATACGGACTTGCTGTGTGGGACATAGACGGCAATCTTGTCTACACATTCAAGGTTGAAAACTTGAGGGTTCACGACCTGGCGCTTTCACCCGATGGCCAGCGGCTTGTTGTACTGCTCGAAGCCAGGATCCTGGTCTACGACTTTCCATCCTACGAGAAGATTGGTGACTGGCCTCTGGAAGATGTCAAGCTCACGAACGTTACGATCAGCGCAGATTCGCAGTGTATGCTTGTCAGTATGAATGAGAATACGATCAAGCTCATGGAAATCGAGACGGGAGACACGTTGGAGCAGTACAAGGGCCATGTGCAGGAGAACTTTGTCATTCGTTCCGCGTTTGGTGGAGCGGATGAGAATTTCGTTGTGAGCGGTAGCGAAGGTATATTTTCTCTATATTCCCTCTAGCCTTTTCATGGCGTACTAATGTTGTGTCAGATTCAAGAGTCTACATATGGCGGACCAACGGCCACCTCGTCGAAGCCCTCGACGCACATCCAAACGGCTGCGTCAACTCTGTAGCTTGGCATCCGAACGACCCCAAAGTCTTTGCTTCAGCGGGCGACGACAGAGTCATTCGTATCTGGAAACCCACACCGAATCCCAGGCCCGCGAATGGCTTTTCTGGCCGATAGCATGGCAGAAATGTCACCAAGGAGATGCTTCATGGGCCCAGCATTCGCGAGGAGCCGAGTACAGAAGCTACAGGACATCCTGACCCCCAGGTTCCAGGTCGAACTTGGAGTTACGACGAGCAAGAATACTTGTACAGGCCTTCCCGGACGGGATGGACACAAGGCCGGATGTTTATTTGGCGTTGAGGGCGAGGATGGTTGCATGCATGAGGGTGGCGATTGGCTTTTTGTGTTCTTTCATGATTAAGTTTCGGACGGGGGGGGGTTTCTGCCCTGTTTTGTTGGCGCGTGTTGTTTTTATGCGGTTGGGTTGGGTTCGATTGGGTTGGGTTGCATGGATTGGTGCTGCTGGGTGCTTCGGTGCTGGTGAGTACCTGGGTGGTGGTGGTTGTGAGTACCTGGGTGGACCGATGGCCCCCTTTCTTCTTTTCTTACCTGCCTCGTGGGGTTGTGCTTGAGAGGGGATGCATACTATGGATGGGGTGGGGGTGTGGGGGTCGTGGGGGTTGGTGAGATGCATGGATGGGGTATACTGGTTCTGCTGAGTGGAAGGGAGGGTTAAGCGGTTGTGGTTGTGGTTGTGGTTAGGGGTTTATGGGGTGGAGGTGGATGGGGAGCAGGGCAAGGCAGGGCAAGGCAGGGCAGGGGGGGAGTGGGTTGTAGGTTGTAGCACATGGGAAGTGTGGGGATGAACATGGTGTACCGTTGCATAGGTATTAGATCACTATTGATTGAGATTGTGTTATTTTATCCTTGAAAGGGCGGTGTGCTGTGAGGTTGTTGGGAGAAGTGTGGAAGTGTGTGGTGAGAGGGAAATGGGAGGGGAGGCGAGGGGAGCAGAGGAGAGGAGAGGAGAGGCAAGGATACATAAAAAATGTAACATCTCACCCCCAAGAGCTGGCTAGAAACTCGGGTCTAAGCAGCGCAGCAGATCTCGAAGCGAGCAAAGTGTCTTTGTGAGGCCGTGGAAGCTGTGTAAAATTCTCTACAATGGAATTATAAGCTCTGGCTGTTGGGCGTTTAAGCTAGAATATTGGTGGAAGTGAAGAAAGGGCGTGTTGAAAGGAATTAGATATTTAGTCGCAAGGGAAGGAGTATGCGTCGAGGATGGTGGTGGGGGAAAAGTTCTATACATGTTTACTAGGTTTAGTAGGCACGCATTGTGGGTCTGTGTTGATACGCGGGTCTGATTATTTGACGTAGTTGCACAGGTGGGAAGGGAACGATCCTGTGAGGTTGCCCAAGTGGTGGGGAATGATGATCGGTTGGCATTTCTGAGCTTGAATGATTTGTTCCATGTGTCTGTTGGGAATGGAGGGGGTGGGAGGGTGAAAGGGAATGTATGATGGGGGGCAAAGTGGACGATTTGGCTTTCGTATGTTTGAGGAAGGACAAGTTCAGAGGTGATTCTTTCTTATCTTTAAAGAAGCCTTCTACTATATCCTTCCTCCCAACCCCCCCCGTCCTTCCACACCCGCCAACCCCACGATTCCAAAATACAACCAAAACCCAGCGATACCTGAACAATTGCCTACCATCTTACTCCGCCGAAGACCTTCGATCACGGCGCTGTCTGCTTTCCCGTGTACGCTCATCTGTCCTTTCTCTCCCCCCATCATCAACCATAAACAGCGTCCCAGCATCCCGGTGCCGACTCCCAGGAGTGCGATGCGGAAATGTAAAGATGGGGTCGCTCACCCAACGCTGACGGCTTGCGGTGTGGGGTGGCCATTGTATATCTTGAGGCTGTGGATGTGCATTTGAATGGTCGCCCATTCCGTTTATGACGAAGGGTCGTGGACCCCTTGGCCGATTGAAGCCATTTCGATCGAAGTCTAGCCGTTGGAGTATCCGGGCTAGACGGTCGTCGTCTGTTGCTGGTGGGGTTGTCCAATGGGGGGTTTGGTGGTGGTCGTTGAAAGGGTGGAGGCAGGAGGGGTAGGGGTCGTATGGTGGATACTCTTGGTATTTGGGGTTGGGATTGGAACGGGGCCATATTGCGGATATGAGGATGTAGAGGAGAAAGAAGGAGAGGGCAAGGAAGGTGGGGAAAGTAAGTAGGGAGGGAGATAGGGGTGTGAGGGTGTCCATGGTGGGTGATGTGTTCTTGCGAATTGGGTATTGAGGGAGAGGGATTGGGGTGAAATGACGGGAGGAATGGTGGGAGGTACTTATATCTATGGCGTGGACCGGATTTGGTGACTTCGATAAAGTGGGACACGTATACTGACTGCCTCTGGAATAAAAATCTAAGCAAATTGCACTGTTGTTCGGTGATTGAAAGCTCTCACCAGAATCTTTAGTACGTGGAACAAATCAGCTGTACTAACACATTTCTATTTCCATCTCTGTTTCTCCATGCCATCTCAAGGTTGCTTGATGATCGTTCGTAGTAGCGTTGTTTGGGAGTGCTTCTCGTTTGACTCCAATCCTAATCCAACGTCACTGATTGTTCCACGCACTATATAAATCTGCCACCGTTCCCGGTTCACAGTGAAGGTTTCCGATGATGCCTGAACCTGTCGGAAAAGATCTCAGCGGGAGCCTTTAGTGTTGCTGATGCTGGGTAGTCAAGGATGTAGTTTAGTGTTCAGAGAAAGAGCAAGCTGAAGGGGAGATCATTCATGCCCATGATTACTAGTGATAGGTGCTCATGAAATCAACATCTAAAGTGTTTGCAGGAAGATTGGCGTGGCACGCGAGGTGTATATCAGATTGAAAGCTCTTGTATTGAGGCAGGTGCCTCCCCTTTTACTAGCAAAGCAGTGTCAATTAGTAACCTGCTGTAATTATAGTGACTCGTCTTTGGTGACCTTGCTGGGTTGAATTCCTGGCGAGAAACAACTCCGCCATCTTCCCATCTGAGCCGGCACCATCGATCTTCTTTGCCAACTGTCTAAAGGTTGCTTGTTGCTTCCTACTCCCGTTTACTCTTGTCGTGGCTGGATACAGCGACGCTGGGTGCGTGCCTCACCGCCCAAACTAGCAAACGCCCCCTTCCCATTCGAACCCGCCTTCTCACATCACACACTGAACTTTCCATTTCTTTGCAAATCTCTTTTCCAAATATAGGGTTGCCTGAGAATACCCAAGTGATATATGTTGACATCAGAAGCTGCCGTACAAACAATATCACGCATCAGTAGTCTAATGGTTAGGATGCTTGCCTTCCATCGAGTTCATCTCTGGAGTCAGCAAGCGGTCCAAGTTCGATCCTCGGCTGATGCAGTAGTGTTTTGTTTGACGCATTGAATAAGTGATTAATTTTTGTCCATGAACATGAGCGACCTGAGGCTGCTAACACCGCCGCCTTGAATCATGGGTATTCAGGAGATGCATTACAATGTATTAGCTAAGAGGTGGCTTCCATTGTAGAAATCGTTAATAACGCGTCTCGTACGTAGTTTTTCAATCAAAACTGTATTAACGAAGGGGAGTATAGGAAGTATCAAAAGAAACCCTATCACAACTTCCATACCCATTCCTCTCTCTTCCTCCAAATATTACCCATTTCCCCGACCCAAAACAAATACCCCCTCCCACGCAACTCCCACACTTCCTCTTGGAATGATATAATCCCATCCTCATCAGCAACAGTCAGCAAACCTTCAGCAATCTCGCCGTCTACATCCTCTCCAAAGCAAAAGCACTGCCACACTATCCACTCGTCACCATCCTCATCCTCAACGACTAATGCATTGTAGTATGCTGGAACCTGTAAAATATAGGTCTTCCCCCCCACCCTTGTCTTACGGTACAAAAAGTATGTATTTTGTGTGCCGTATTTTGCTGGGTTGACGGGCCAGAGATAGCGAGATATTATCGCGGGTTTGGATTGTGGTGGCGGGGTTGGTGCTTGCTCGAGCTGGAGAAGGGGGTTAGCAGATCTTTGGCGAGGTTGCCGTGGCGCTGGGATCAAGACAAAGGAAGAAGAGGAAGAGGAAGAGGAATTGAGGTCGACCTCTTCAAATTCAGACATGTCAAGAGGTTCTGGAGTGGACATGTAGGGTTGGGCATAGCTGGGCCGTCGCATATAGTGATCTGGATATGGAGATTGCAGAGGGTGGGGTGGATTATACCTGTGATGCGTACGAATTGTGTCTCTATGTCGCTGTGGCTGATCTCGGCTCGCCGCTCGTGAAACTGTGAAGGATTGGGCTTGCGGTCGAATACGTGTACCTAAACGATGCCTAGTACCCTGTTCCTTAGTGGAGGAGGGTGATTCATAATAATAATTTCCATAATTGAGTTGATCAGGTCGAATAGTTGCTGACATGGGTCGATGAGACTGCTCTGGGTGCCGGTTGCTCTGATGCTCTGGATGGTGCTCTATGGTCTCGTTCTCTCGCGATCGATTGTAGTCATTTACTGACATTGGACTTACCCAGTAAAGGCCACCAGGGCCTGGGGAATAATGTGGTGGCAACTCTGATACACGAAATCTCTCTGGGATACCCAGATACATGGCTCGAATTCCTCGGTAGCTCTCTGGAAACGGCTCGGAAACAGGGGGAAATGGGTTAGATTGAGTTTGGATATCTCGTTCTTGCTCACGTGAACGATTCGTATACGGCTCTGGCCGAGGCCCTCGACTTTCTGCATCCGGCACTCTGCCCGTTCCACGAGGTGATCGGGTTTGAGAATGCTCTGGTTCCTGACTTCCGGAGTCATGATTCCCCCTCCTGAACCTCGCCAACGGAGGGTCCGATTCGAAGAACAACTTCTCAAACCTCTTGTGCCCACCGTGTCTGTCAGGGGTTTCATCAGGAAGGTTCTCGTCATCTCCAACATTGGGTATACCCTGATCAGCGTCTTGCATGCTATCCGGACCATGAAGAGTATAATCAAAATCGGCATCAAGCACAACTCCAAATCTCTTCTTATCTTCATCAGTAAGTATTTCCGTATCAAATCGCTGTGACTGTTGATTGGAATCTGTTTGCCCGGATTGGAATGGAGAATGTAGGACCCCTCGTTCGTAATCGAATCTTGGTGCCGTTGAATCTGTTGAAGCATCTGAATGGGCACCATTCGACGACTGTCTATTTTCTGAATCCCTTGAAGCCAATACTTCTTGGATAGACGGAAGGGCTATGGGACATTTTCGCCGCATTTTTTGACGCATGCCTGGTTCGATCTGACCATCTGATTTGGGTTCACCCACACCATCGAGTTGGCAAGATATTTTCGGTACGCTTGTTGACTGTGAGCTTGAAATTCCCGGTTCAAGGGTAGGTCCAGGAGCTGTTGACGCCTCCAGATTTATGCCAGAGCACACGTAGAGATAATCGCTGGATCTACCAAAATGGTGTTCTGATATTTCAGTATCGTTCAGCTCGCTGAAGGCAGGTTGGTTTAAAGTGCTAGCCTCCTCATCATACTCCCCAAAATTCTCAAACCTCTTATCTGATCGAGGCCCCTCATTGTATGTGCTTGGACGGTTTTGAGCTGCATCGAAAAAGGTATCGTCGTCGAAATTATAGCGATCGAATTGAAGACCAAGTTCATAACTGGGTTCACCGAATGCAGAATGATCGAATCTGGTATCATCAGAGTTAGAACCATCGGAACTACTATCCTCATGCCGAGAATGATAAGATCCAGGATGACTATGCGAATGTGTACTCTCGCTCGCTTCGCCGTCATTCTGGGAGACCACATTTGAAATGATATTCACAGTTCTGTTCAGCAGAATAACTTCTTTTCTAGCAGAAGGTGTGTGTAGAAGCCTGAGAAGGCCGAGGCTGTGACGGATTTCCTTGTGTCGATGGCGGACATCCTGGCGAAGGTCTCCAAAATGTGTGGCCATCCGAATGTTCAGAATGGAGAATCCCAAGAATATGAAGAAGAGAATAATACTTATGGAGAAGAAGGCCAGCCTGAGAAGCTCGTGCTGAAGTTGGGGAGGCAAAGATGTGGCCATATTTGGGTTTTGAACAATTACTCTGAGAAGGTATTTCAGAACGGAGAAGATAACTGAGTTAGAGATTATGACCACTTTTGAAGGAATTTAGTGGGTCTTCCGTTTGTTGTTTGTAGACTCTCCATCGTCGTGGCCAGCGAGAACAAGACGAGTTTGGAAACGGAGAAAGCCAGACCGAACGAAATACAATCATCTATATCACGATGCCATATTAGCCGATACACAGAAATATTTGGACTGATGGTTGACATGGAAAGTCTGTTCACGAAGCTCAATAATGCTCATGGCATTCTGTCACTGCCGGACAATGCTATGCTTAATTTCTGAACACCTGGAGAATTGTTGAATGCAAAAAGAAAATGGAAATTGTTCCTTTGGATATGGATCTAGTCTGAAAAGCGGCATGTCACTATTTCAAGATCAATGGGTTTCGTGCCTGGTGATCAAGTTTGCCGGTCTGTCTCATGGGTCTGTTGAAGGCACTTTGGCTGGTATAGTTGTTTGCTAGGAGGAGCTCAAAATCCAAGTCCTTATATCGGATACTAGCGAGAGGGCAAACCCTTCGGTCATGTTGCCCCTTTCGTGTCAGATGAGTTCGGCTCCCAGCCTTCCCGGTAGATGTCAGGAGTTTCACTTTGTGAGACAAAGGCAATATCACGTGACCTGCTCAAAACTGCGCAAATTTCTGTATTGCCATCTAGTTACTCTAGGTTTTGTCAGACTTTGCATTGAGTTAAAGTTTGGGATGTCATCTTCAGCTGGTACAGATTGTTCTGAGGTTGTTAGCCTTTCATCCTTTTCTTATTTCACTCACGTTAACCAGAACTACTTTTGGGCACCCTAAATTCATCAATATTTAAAGATCCATACAAAAAGTCATGAATATCAATTTCACATGAACGTCAAGGGCTCGGGAACGGCGCAAGTCTCCACAATTGAGCAAGCTGGAGACATTTACGGTCTGTGCGCAGACTGTGGAGGTGTGCAGGGGCCAAGGTCGGCACGATTTCATAAATCCCCAGGTAACCCTCAGCCGCACTGGACCACTCGTACTTTAGAAAGGTGGAAATAGCCTACTTTGAATAAATTTATAGCACCACAGTTTGCAATATATATCTAGACCGAAGCTCCCGAAGAGTGGGTGCTTCGCCAACACATTGTTCCCTAACACCACGTGGGTACGGCTGACATTCGTAGCCTCTTCAACTAATCGATGTCCAACAACAACAACACTGCAGCACCAGAGGATCGCCGGCGCCTCCTTTTCGTGAATGAAGCAGCACTATTCTAGGCGTCTGATATCACGATTCACCCAAACCTTCAATACCGCCACCAGAGTTCTTGATGGGGCTACATCATCGACATAACAAAGTGGAAGCCATCATAGGGGTGACAGAGCCTGCCGCCCCAAAATAGAGCGCCATGGAATATGGAGCAATGATTACGTCTATCCTCCATCTGAGTACCGACCTCTTTCTAGAACTGTGCGACTATCTCTCTCATAAAGATTTGATTGCTCTGTCCCTTGTCAATCGAAACCTCCGCTATCTCCTCCTACCATCTCTGTTCAGAAACACGAGAATTTGCGACCCGCGAGAACCATTCAACCTAGGGAACCGCGATAGGAGGCCGGTGTCTCCATCTTTCAATCCGATGAATGGTGCCAGCTGGCCGACAGTTCAAACCTCTAAGCCAGCGAAAGAGGGTGGATGGCCGACACTTCAACGTGCTTCACGCTGTTTAATCGAGAACCGCCCGCTGCTTCAGGAAGTCAAAAGACTCAAAATTTGGATCGCATCTCAGTCTTTATACTACCGCATTGAATCCCCCGGGCTAAGCAACTTGTTCGTAATGCTCTTCCGAATGCACAAGCTCCAAGACCTGCACCTGCGCCTGTTCAGACCACTCCATATTGCAGCACATAGCCACCTTCGTGAACTCGCAATTATGCAAGGCCTACCAACACAGGCCACATTTCCGGCCATCAAGCGATTAGATATCGATATTGATGCACTGTGGATTGCTTCCTGCTGCCCGAACCTCGAGACACTCTCCTTGGGCCTTTCGCATCGTCCGTCTGGATACACAGAGATCAAAGCACGAAACAACCCCCTATTCAATTGTACCGCCAACCTAACGTTTCTTGATGCTCCATCCGAATGGATAAAACTCAATGCAGTGTCCATTTCCATTGCCTTTCCTCGGCTCCGACGGCTTCGCGCCCATGGTACTCGTGGTAGGTGACCTCTCAACTTTTGAACATTTTCCGGGGCTCTCTCCTTCCAAGGGACGAAAGCTGCGCTAA